GGAACAAAGTACTTTCATTTTCTGAAACTTGTACCCTGCACTGAACAGGTTATACTCATCCATAGCCAAGGAACAGAACACAGAGCAAAATAAAGATCGATGCATGGAAGTACAAATGTGAATCATGACTTTTGAGCTTTTATATGAATGGTTGTGAGAGGATTATCCTCAGTATTTCCGTACAAGTGGAGGATCAGAAGGGGAAGATTGCAGAATTGATTCACAGTTGTGAGTGTCTGGGTCAATTGTGAGGGGCTGGTTTCAAGGAGCCTCCCGGGAAAAAGTGACAGGTTGAGAGACTGGAGAGGGGTGAAAGAACCAACAGAGCAGGAAAGAGGGACAGAAAGAGAGTTTCAGAGGGAGCACAGTCCTGGGTAGTTATAAGTGCAGGCTGGACAGTGGAATTGGGTTGCTGACGTGGGATGCAGGGGAGGTCACTGGCGTTGAGACAATCAAGAAATTAGGAGGCAATGAATTTGATAACTCAGTCTTGTTGATGGAAAGGCTTCATGGAAAATCTTCATTTCCATTCAATAAATAGTTATTAAGCAGTCTGTGTGTGGCAGGGATTCTGCTAGACATATTGACCTGGATAAAGAGGGTAAGAGAAGACGATGGGGTCATGAGAACCGTGTGATATTTGGGGCTTTTCAATTCCCAGTTTTATAGTCAATGTTAATTTCCACCTTGGTCTTGGCTATGATTAGCAGCTCTCTTTTTTTCTTGTTTTCTTTTTTACTCCTACGTCCTCTCAAGGGTACCCCAAAGTTTCAGTTACTTGAACTAACTGGAGACTGTTTTACTCTTAAAAATCTTTCAGGTTGAAGGTTTCCCCCTCATCCCCGTTCCATCTGTGATTTCTTTTCTAGAATGTTCCTTGGCTCTCCATGGGAGCTAACAGATAACCCACAGGTGCCAGACCATCCTTGCCTGTCCTCTAATGCAAATGAAGGAGGATGTAGGGAATTCCCATCTGTTCTGGTCTGCAAATCCCACCCGTGTACAAAAACACAGGAATAACAATATGTCATATAACACGGTTTAATATGTCATCAAGTGTTGCTGTCCCTGCCACCCACTTTCCGTATGCATTTTCTATTTCATTTCTTTTTTTCTGCAGTCTTATAGCCAGCCTAAAACAAAAATGAAATTAAATGTTTGTTCCGGTCTCAGAAATACCCACTTATCCACATTTGTATACCTTATGTTGGCATGACCTTCTCGGACAATTCTTTTAAGCTTAATATTTTTTTTTGAATAGAGGCAACTTTTGGCATTCCTATCTAGATTGTGATGATGATGTGACATCTCTGAAGTAACCAAAATAAGTCACCCTGTTTAAGTGCTGCCCCTTAGAAGCAGCGATTCACTACAGCCTTATTTGTCTCCGAAATATTTTTAATATAAAAATTAAATGATTATTTCAAACGGTGCAATGATGCGAAAGGAGGAGTCTTTCTTGCGTGGACAATTCCCGAATACACAAGAAAGAGTAGTGTTTAACACTTGCATTCCACCTGCCAGAAGGCTGTATCATGGAGCACCTCTCTCTCCAGCTTCATATAGTGCTCGCCAGTCTCGGCAAGAATGGCCCGGTAGGGCTGCGACTGCTTCCGAGGTTTGGGGAGCTGGTTGAGGAAGCAGCAGGAAATGAGCAGCAGTATTTTTCTGGGATTGGGGGCAGGGCACTGGCTTCGCTATGCTCTGTAAGTGTGGCAGGAAGCTTTGTGGGGAATTCTGCTCTGTGTGGGGCACCGAGAGAGAGAGAGAGAGAGAGAGAGAGAGAGAGAGAGCCAGTCCCACTCCGGTCAAGATGCTCCCATTCCCTGAAACTTGCCCCCTGCACTGAATAGGTTATGCCTACCCATGGGAATATCCTCGGGTCTCACTTAATTATCCCGCGTGGTCATCTTAAAATTCCTTCTCCAGAAATGCTTCTATTCTTCAGGGGTTTGATAACCTGCGCTTTGTCTCTGGTATTAGTGGCACCTTCATTCCATAGTTATCCTCACTTCTCTTTCTTTGTTTGCACCTTCATCTCTCACTTCCTTTCCGTTTTGCCAAGAGCTTTGCTTCTTCCAAGCCTTCGTATTTTCTCCTATGAACAGTGCTCAGGTTTGCATGTGGAAAGTTTCCTTGTTATCTTATGAATGTATTTTTTTCTTGGAGAAAACTTGCAGGCTGTCCCCTCAGTTTGTAATTACAACTTAATTCTCTTTGAAGACCTCACCAGGTTTTGAAGAAAGACCTTGTTATTTGCTCTCCTTAGGAAAGAACATATCAAAAGACCACCATCTGTCTCGTCTCCCTGAGGGCCAACGGACGCTCGGACTTGGGGGGCAAGGGGGGTAGGAGACCCTTCCCCCCCACACGTAAGGCTCCCAATCTTCATCCTCCCTCTCACTGGCAGCAGCTTCCAGGGCCTGACACATCTCCTGCAATGACATGTGGCAGCTAGGAGAGTACTGACTTTGGGGTCAGTCCAGCCTCAGCTCAATCCCCATCTACCATTTCCTGCCTATGGTACTTTGGGCTTGTTGCCTAATCCTCTGACTTCTCTCATCTGTAAAATGGAGTCAATAACATTAACCTGATAGATTGTTGTCAATATTAAATGAAATGACGAATCCAGTGGCTGACAGATAGTAGAGTAGGTGCTAAATAAAATATAGTTGTTATTATTACTGTTCCTAGAATGCATTAGTAGCTTAGAAGCTTGGTGTTGGTTTCAGCACTTACTGTATTTAAGAAATAAATAAATAAACACTTGCTCCTAAAAGGTTCTTCCAAGAAGTTGAACGTGAAACTCCTTAAAGGCAGGCACCACCCAGCCTTAATAAATATGTTCCCCATGCACACTCGTAGCTCACTCTTGCTGTGCCTCGGTGAAGGCCATTTGTTTCTGTAGCTGCCTCGGCAGCAGTCATCTCTCCTTTGCCCTAATGGCTCCTTTCTGGGACCGACCCTGTGGAGCTCAGCACCACCTCCAGGTTCTGCCTGAACTGATAAGGCACTTCGTGAAAATGTCTCCCGTCCCTCTGTTCCTGTGGACGTACTATGCCCCCTCCCCCTTGGAGGGCTGAGGTGCCCACATAAGTTAGTCTCACAAGAAAGCTCAAACTGGATGTGGGAACTAAAATCTAATAGAAATCCTAAGTTACCCTTCTGTGTAATATATTATGCAACCATGCTTAAACAATAACTGTCATTTTCAAGCTAAATAGAAAACAGTTTCTGCCTTCGGGGTGCCTGGTCCTTTAGAGATGAGACAAGTGCAAACAAAGCCATGTGCAATGTCATTTCTGTGAATGTGATGTTAAAAATGTGCATGTGAGTTAGCCCCAGCATGATTCACAATGCAACACAAAGGCAAGCTGGATTTACAAAGTGGAACCCCCCACCCTGGCTGCTTATTCAGATCTTTGCCTTCTACATACCGTTTCCCTGGGTGGCTGTTTCCATTTTCTGATTAAAAAAGAGAAAGAGAGAAAAACTATGTAGAAAATCAAAATGGAAAGCCTTAGGAGAGAATAGCTAAAAACATTTTATCTTTATATGCGTGTCTAAAGCAGAGAACAAGCAAGGGTTTCAAAATGCATTTGCCTGCATTTGAGTTGTTAAGGATAAAGGCAGAGGTGTTGAACTCTAGGACAGGTAAAGTCTTGGAAATTTAGGGACACACCAGGACTTCTTTAGCAGATGTATGGAGGGTTCAAAGAATCCTGGAGCCTCGTATTTAACTACGCTAAGTACTGCACTTCTTCGGCAGGTAAGGCACTTGGGGACCTGTGGATGCGCTTAGCTCCTCCTGAGTTCCCGGGCTGAGGTGGGCAGGTGTTATGAAGGGAACTCCCAGGAGGGACAATGGAAGGAACATGCTCACATGCATTGTGCCGTCAGTATTAAAACCAACTTGACCGCTCATTCTCTGTTCACTGGTTTCTACCTTCCCTTTCCTAATTTGAGCAGTGTTACAGGGGCACATCACTACAATGTTGTTTTCTCTCCCAAATTCTAATAGTAAGATTCTTATTAGAATTCAATTTTAGTCACTAAAATAAAAATATCCATTATTGAGCCCTACTTTGTGTCCAGCACTATGCTTAGCACTAGATAGCCAAATAGACGATAGATAGAAAGAAAGAAAAAATAGATAGATAGATAGATAGATAGATAGATAGATAGATAGATAGATAGATAATGGATGGATGATGGATAGATAGATAATGGATAGATGATTGATAGAAAGATAGGTAATAGACGAATGAGACATCATCTATCACCTTCAATAAGGATGGATAAAGATAATATTTTGAGGTGGAAGAGAGGGAGACTGAGGGAGTTTGTGTCTATCTACAGCCTTGATTTTTTTTTTTAATGTGGTGAAAAAAAAGAAAAGAAAAAAGAGGGAAGGGAACCAAGGGCAAAGAAGCCTGGAAGAAAGCAGGTCTGGAAACAGTTGCCACACAGAATGCTAAGGAAAACAAAAGTGAGTTCAAAACCCAAACAGATCAGCAAATCTTATGATTCCTGGAGGAAAACATTATCTCATCTTTTTTTTTTTTTTTTTAAGATTTACTTATTTATTTGAAGGAGAGAGGGTGTGTGAGTCGGGGGAGGGTCAGAGGAAAGCACCTCCAGCAGACTCTGCCCGCTGAGCGCGGAGACCAACGTGAGGCTTCATCTCACCACGCTGAGATCATGACCTGAGCTGAAACCAAGAGCTCAGCTCTTGGGAGCTCAGCTCCCAACCCTCAGCCAACTGAGCCACCCAGGCGCCCCATGGGTTACCTCACCTTCGCTGTTGCCACCGTCACCATCAGTATCATTGTTATCTTCTCCAGAACAAATTATTTTTGAGCCACATCATAACCTTTACATAGTTGAGAACACGATTCCTTTGAAAAACTAATCATCGTTTATGCTCATTTCCTGCTTACCGCAGGGGTTGTAGGGTGGTTTGCTTCATGGCATCCTCCCTCTCGTTTGTGCTTGTTCAGGTGGAGCCACTGATACAGAGAGGCCACGAGAGTCTGGTCCACCACATCCTGCTCTACCAGTGCAGCAGCAGCTTTAACGACAGCGTCCTGGACTATGGCCACGAGTGCTACCACCCTAACATGCCCGATGCATTCCTCACCTGCGAGACCGTTATTTTTGCCTGGGCCATTGGTGGAGAGGTGGGACCAATGATTACTGAGATGTGACACTATTCATGGATCATGTTTTTTCCCTTCGGTTCTAATACTTATAAGTAAAGCTCTATACATTATTTCTGATAGGAGGGTGACTTATTTTTCTTCCCATTGGAAGCGATTCTCTCCTTATGCCATTTTGTTATATCCACTCTATATTATGGAGATCCAGAATGTTGAAATATCTTTGAGAATGGTTGGTTTTTGAGTGGAATAGAACTTTTAGGGACTTTCATAGGGCACGTCTCATGGAATTTGCCTTATTTAGGGTTTTTCCTATCCACCTCATGTTGGATTATCCCTTGGCACTCCGTTAGATCCTCGTTATGTGCTCCTGGAAGTCCATTATGACAATCCGACATATAAGGAGGGTGAGTTTATTCTTCCTATATTTTACCTATGATTTTTAAAAGTTTTGTAAGTATCTTAACAGGGTTGAAATAAACCACCACCCAGTATTAGAAGGAATTAACCTATACATTTGTCATCCAAATTAGGATACTTTTTTAGAGCAAAAGAGAATACTGTTAAAAATTACTTTGGGGAGGGTATGTGTTGTGGTGAGTGCTATGTATTGTGTAAGACTGATGAATCACAGACCTGTACCCCTGAAACAAATAATACATTATATGTTAATAATAAAAAATTACACTGAGGCAACAGTGATTAACCAGCACTGAACCAGGCAAAATGAACACACGTGGTCAGTGATCTTAAAAAAACAATTTGCATCCTACTTTCCAGGAAGTAGGATAATAGATTTTTCTCCTTGTGATATAAGTTAGTTCCCCAAAGATGGTGCTTATGAAACATTTTCTAACTGCACATATGAAATGCTACCATTCATCACACTAGAAAATATTATGTTTATGTGTACAGACACACTGTGTAATATGATGTTGAAATGAAGAGGGTTTGTACTTACATTTGATTTGTGAATCTACTTTTCTAAACCTTCTTATGTAATAATCCAAAACCAAAAAGTTGAAAGATTCAATATGAAGTTCTCAACAGAAGTAACTCAAAGTTATTATTTTACACTGATTTGTGCAATTATTCAGCAAATACTGAGCACCAGCTCTGTCTCCAGTCTGTGCTTAATGATACAACATGAGTGAAAAACACACCAAACCGGGTGGAAATTATAGTATAGTGAGAAAGAGAAATAATACAAATAATCCCACCAATTAATATAAAATTATGTATATGCCAGTGATTCCAAAGTGTCAATTTGGTAATCACGGGTAGTAGGTAAGTCAGCCCTGCAGAAAGAAGTCAATTAGTTTCAAAGTCAGGAGAACAAATTTATGAGGCGGTTGGGACTCTCTGTCCTTTTGATAACTGTCTCAGCGAGGAATGTGTCTTACTCATTTTTCATCCCCACATGCCTATTGTTGTGCTTTCTAGTCACATAATAGATTATTAATATTTTTTGTTGATTGAATAACTGTTCATTGAGTGATTAAAAGAATGGTGGCAAACTATAAAGAAAATTAATCATCAGTAGTTTATTCTATCAGCAGATGGTTTCTAGACCAAGGGGCTTCTACCTCTATGGAAATGTTACTGAACTTTACCTGAAAACAATATAAAATAAAGTTTTTGTTGAGTTATTCTATATTCTGATGAATGACTTTAGAATTTTCCTTTGGTCTATCTTTATGTTAGATCATTGTAGAATATATCAGCTAGACAACACAAACATTTTTCCCATGGTATACTGTGTAAGTAAAAAATGGTTGCAGACAATATGGTGACTTATGTTTTAATTGCTGTTTGTGAAACTGAATGTTGTCTCCCATTAATCTTTACTTGTAATTCTTTCCCTTGTGAGATTTTAAGGAAAATTAATAAGTCCATTTCAACTGACTGTGGAAAAATTTTTTTTTAAGAACTCAAACTCACTTTCAGTTATTGGCTCTTATTCCAGGCTTAATAGATAATTCTGGACTGAGGTTATTTCATACGACAGATATAAGGAAGTATGATGCTGGGGTGATTGAGGCTGGCCTCTGGGTAAGCCTCTTCCACACCATCCCTCCAGGGATGCCTGAATTCCGGTCTGAGGGTCACTGCACTCTGGAATGCCTAGAAGAGGTATGTGGAACATCGAGTCTGTGAGCTACTATTCATAGATTCATCAATGCTCTTGGAAAACTATGTTTGGAAAATCTCATGCTTGTTGTTATTAATCTTTTTCTTGTTGTCACGCTGTAAAGCCATTATTTATCATTGTGACAACCCTTTGACTGCTTTTTTAAATCTTGAAGGCTGTAGGAGTAGAATTCTGGACAAGAATAACTTCCAGGATGTTTTCCTTCCTGACCTACTTCCTTTGTTTTTTGTTTTTTTTTTTTTTCATATTTGACACTATCTTTTACAATTTCTACCTTGGTTCATGTGGTCTCTTTTCCATTTCTCAGCTTCACCTTTTCCAGATTTGTTTTTCCCATTATTAATTTTCATTTTTTTCTGCTTTTCTCTGCTTTATAGTTTCCTTCCTACATAAACCAAAGAGCAAGAGTACCTAATATAAAAGTGCATATTGAGTAAGGAAAACCATGTAAAATATTTAATTATGGCTGCTTCCATATACAGTTCTTTTTTCTTAAATAAGTGTATTTCAACATGGATCATATTCTTTATAAATTATAAGCTATTATATTGTAGACAGATGGCAGACTGATGAAGTGGAAAGATTATGCCCTTTGAGTTATTTAGATCATGATTCAAATTGCCATGACATCATGTACTAGCTGTAGGACCAAGGGCAATTCATGGAATTCCACTCTTCCACTTGGTTTTCTTATCTTGGAAAGTAGGAATCATTTCTCCTTTTAAGAGTTTCTATTTACAGGTTACTAACATACTGGAATCTTTTTGCCAAGAGCTTTGATTGACTCTTTACCTCCTAAAAGAAGGAAAAAGAAAGATAACATTTAGAAGTGGTCTGGTAGGTCCTCAGTAAGCATTATTTCCCTTTCTTTTCTGCCTGCAAATGTTACTTCACAAAGATAACACTGCTAGGAATAAGTCACAAAAAATGCTAATTCAAAATGTTTGGCTGCTCAAGCATTCACTTAAATTGCTTTAGATTTTCTTCTCAGTTGTCCCTCCAAGTCTCTTTTATGGTGAACTGTCTGAACATGTGCTTGTTCGGGCTAATTGTGTCTTCCTCTGTGTGCCCCTGTAGGCTCTGGAAGCTGAAAAGCCAAGTGGAATCCATGTGTTTGCTGTTCTTCTCCATGCTCACCTGGCTGGCAGGGGCATCAGGCTCCGTCATTTTCGCAAAGGGGACGAAATGAGATTACTGGCTTATGATGATGATTTTGACTTCAATTTCCAGGAGTTTCAGTATCTTAGGGAAGAACAAACAATCTTACCAGTATGAATGTTTTGTTCTTTTTCACTGAATCTTAGAAAAGTCAAGGCATCTATCTACTGCGATTTAGCAAGGTTTTCTACCAGTAAAGTGAATTGCTCATGGTATTCACATTCTTGAAGCCACCCACTGTGGGTGTTGCAGAACCCAGATGGAATGTGTTTGATCTGATTCCCAAAATCAAACTCACTTTTCTTACCATTCCCAGGGGCAACTCAAGTTGTTGATTTAAAAAGAAAAGAAAAACTTGGGTTCTGAGTACCAAACATTACTCTTTTCTTACTTGACTTTCTAGTAAACCTTTGGGTTACAATTCTGGTAATACAAAAATCAGAGATTTTTTTTTTATACCAGAGGAGAGTTTTGGGAAGTTTGATTTCAGTAAAAATGAAGATAAGGATAATTCTTTCATTTGACAAAGGTTTTGGACAGAACTAACTATCCAGCTTGCAACAGTACTTGGGGTTATGGAAGGACGGTGTGGAAGGACAGTGTGTTGACATCCTGATCCATGGGCCTTCTGAGTAGTGGGCCAGGAGAGCAAATCTAGGGACCAGCACCCAGCACAAGCTGCCTCTGGTCCATGAATAGCCTGTCCATTGACCTGAGTGGTGAACCATAAACAAAATTATTTTCTGTGTATGCTGAATTGTTCAAAAGTTAGAAAACATTGGAACAATAACTATTACTTTGCTTCACAATTCTGTTGTGAGGAAATAAAGATGTGACTAAAGACCTTTACAGAAAATAATATAAATAAAGAGAGCATCATAATAACTAGTATCTGTGGGTAACATTTATGAAGTGTTTAATCTGCACTAAGAACTAGATGCATGTTATGTCATTTAATCTGTTCACAAAGCTGTGCAAAATAACAGCTATTTTATATAATTATTTTTTAAATAAATAAATAAATTATGCCCAGATAATTCTTTTCCTTACCTAAGGTCATGCAGCTAGAACATGGTGGAGTCTGACCTGAGAGAGACTTATTTGTTTGTTTGCTTGTTTATTATACTGACAGTCTTAGAATTAAGTAGCTCAAGGTTCCCCTGGATCAAATTTCTTAATGAATCTACTCACATAGCAAATAAAACTATTGGCCTACAAATGTATTAGATAAATAAAACAGCCTAAAACTCCAAACTGAAAGCTTTCATTTTTATGTTCTAGGGAGATAATCTAATTACTGAGTGTCGTTACAACACAAAAGATAGATCCCGGATGACTTGGGTAAGAAAATTTTTATGATTATTAAAATTCATTTGTGGAGAAGGAGGAATAAACTTTGATTTTAGAGGAGAAAAAGCAAAAAGCATTCCCATTTTGGAGGCAAAATTCCTGAATATCTTGAGCAAGAAACACCATAAAAGTGAAATCAGAGCTATGTTAGCATTTTATCAGATTAACTAATGATTCTACAGCAAATTTGCAGTATAATTTATTAACCCTTTCATGAAAAGCTATTCTAGTCATTTAGTTTTTTCTCACCAAATCGTATTAATTAAAGACCTGTGGTCACAAGTGACCATCTGCTTGAGTCCAGACTTAGATGAATCAAGAACTTCAAAAGGAAGAATGAATTGCATTCTGACCCAAAGAGAAATTTGGTCCAGCAGATTTACTGAGGAGTCCTGACAAACACTCAAGAAATAGACCATTCATGCTTTACATAGTTTCTCCCAGGGAATACCTCCCACCAACTCATTTTATGAAGTTAGCATAATCTTAATACTAAAACTTGATAATGACACTATGAAAGAGGTCAACAACATGCACCTGATGGAAATATCTTTGATGGATAAATTCAACATTATATATAAATGTAATGTTAGGGAAAAAGTGTAATGTTAGGACCAATTTGGGCTTAGCTAAGGAATGTAAATTGGTTTAAAATAGAAAATATATTAATACCATTCATTCTACATTAGAGATTGAAGGAAAAAGACGTGATCAGGTCAATAGGGGAAGAAAAAAGTCTTCATAAGATTTAAGTGAGTAATAAAAAAAGAGCATTTGATAAACTAGGAATAGGAGAGAATTGTCTTAGCCAGGTGAAGCTTAGCTATGAAAAATCTGTAGCAAATATCAAACTACTTGGATATTAGAAGTAGTGCTTTAATATCAAAAGGAAGACAAAGATATTTATTATCATCATTTCCATTCAACATTATACTGGAAAAGGAAAAAAATGAGACATATGGATCACAAAGGAAGAAGCAAAGAAGCAAAACACATTATTCACAGATATTATAATTTTCTACATCAAAAACCTCCTCAAAATTGATATCTAAAACTAACTATTTTAGCATAAATACTAAATAGTATAAATACATTTTACAAACTGGGTACAGTTAAGAAACTATCTCAAGAAAATGCATTTTAAAACTCTAAGTTCTATAGAAATAAAATCTAACATTAGATGTGCTTGATCTCCATGGGGAAAAACTTATAAATTTTTATTTGCAAAACTTTACAGTACACCTAAAGAAATGAAGAGATACTGTGTTCATGGATAGAAAGGTTCCATAAAATAAAGATAATCCTTCTATTCAAATTGGCCTATAAATTTGATATAATTTCAGTAAAAAAAAATTCAGAGAGATTTTATGATTTGAGGTTCTGGTATCCTAACTAAGACATCTTTGCCTAGCCATAGCTGTGAAGATTTTCTCTTATTTTTTTGTATTTCTAAAAATTTTACAGTTTTAGGTTTTATGTGGAGCAAATAGATTCTGAAATCTACATAGAAGAGCAAAGGGTTAATAATAGGCAAGACACTACTAGAAAGTAAAAGATGGAGACAAGCTACTGGATATGAAGGCTTATTTTAAAGCTATCGTGATTGATAGTGTATTTGGGTCCAGAGTTAGAATAGTGGTACATAATAGGAATCTTAGAGACTGACCTACAAACCCCCTATACAGAAACTTGGTTTAGAACAGACACAGTAACCATTTAAGTGGGAAAGAATGGACTTTCCATTAAAGAATACTAGCACAACTAGGTATACAATACACAAGGAAGTCACAGGCAGATTAAGTATTTAAATGTGAAAAGGAAAATCTTAAAGCAATTGGGAGAAAAACATATGAATATATTTTTATGATGTTGGGGGTAATAAGAACTTAAAACATAAAAAGCACGAACTATAAAAGATTGGTGAATTTGACTACCTGAAATCTTTTGGTTACCAAAAAGCACTATTAAGTAAGTGAAAAGACAAGTTTTAAACTGAAAAAAAATGCAACACATAGATTCATAAAGCATTAGTATCCAGCATATAAAAGAAATTTCATAAATCAGTAATGTAAAACAAATAGACCATAGAAAAAGAGCAAGAGACACAAACGTTTCACGGAAATAAAAGCCCAAATAGATAATAAACATATGAAAGGATGAAATGAAATTTCATTTGAAATCAGGATCATGCAAATTTAAACCAGAAGGAGATATTTTCTACCCATCAGTTTGGCAATATTTAAAATTGCAATTCCAACGTGCTAAGACTGGAGTCCTCACAACCAGCTAAATGTAAATTTATAAAACCACTTTGGGGAAAAGCATGACATCATCTGGTAAAGTTGGAGACTCATAGATGCTCTACCCAGTTCCATTCCTGTGTGGATTTCACCTTAAGTTTCCTTTTGCAGGAAGTGTTCCAGGAGAAAATATGTAAAATATTCATAGTAGCATGTAACAACACAGGAACACAAAGCTGGAAACAGCTCAACTATTTATCAAAAAGAGAACAAATAAATACAATATAATATGTCCATAGAATATATTTATAGTATATATCTGTGAAAATTAATGAATGAAAGCTACGTATGTTAACACGAATGTATCGGAAGAACAGAAATGGCAAGTTTGCAGCCAACCATAGGCAGTATGATGTCATGTATCTAAAGTAGAACATACAAAATGAAAATGTCATTTAGGAATGCATACATACGTCAATAAATGGAGTGTAAAGGGTTTGAAAAGCAATAGAATGATAAATCAAAGAGTAAGATAATCCTCATCTTCAGTTAGGATGGGGAAGAGGAGTATTAAAAATGAGCACAGAGTACAGTTAGTCCACTGGTGTTGGCTTTATTTGTCTCATGCCTTATATATGATTTTGTTTGCATGAAATATTTTACCTCAGACATCATACCTTATTATTTTAGGGGATATTTTGGTGGTCTGACTGGATACTGTCTGTCTTCAGGGCCAGCACAGCTAAAACCCAGCCACTGAAAATACCAGATGATAACTCACAACCATGTCATTCACTGGGCATTGCCCTTGGTGTCAGGGAATGCCCCACTTGAAGTTATGCTCCCTGCAGTGGGGCAGCCAGCAGCCAATGACTGGTTCATGGGAAGATACAAATGCCTGGCTCCCTTCCTACAATTTAGTACCACTCCAAATAGCCATCCCAGCTGAAGGATAAATTAAATATGATTTTTACTGAGGCATCACTTATAACCTCATTTGTAAATCAGCTTCTCCCTTTGCCCAATCCTGCTTTGCTCATCAAGTGCAAAACATTGTGTTCTGCAATTTGTAAAATCATTGCATTTTCCCCCTGCATTAATTTAAAACTATGAACAATACTGCCAAGTTTTTCACCTTCACTTTTTGAAGAACAGATGATTGGCTGGATACAGAATTCTTGGTTGATTTATTTTTCCCTGCAGCCCTTAAATATGTAATCCCAATATCTTTTTGTTATTTCCATCACTTATGATGAAATATCAGCTCTCATTTGTATCATTGTTCCCCTGCATGTGATGTGTCCTTTTTTTCTTACTGCTTTCAAGATTTTCTCTTTGTCTTTGGCTTTCAGCTATATGACTATGATGTGTCTAGGTATGGCTCTCTTCATGTTTATCTTTGGTATTTGTTGAGCTTCTTGGGTCTGTAAGTGTTTTTCACTAAATTTAGGAAGATTTCAGCCATTATTTTTTCAAATATTTTTTCTATCTTTTTCTCTCTTCCTTCTCATTCTGGAACTCTAATTACATATATGTTGGAACATTTAATATCGTATTTTGAGGTATTTTCTGGAATATTTTCACTTTCTTTAGTTTTTTTTTTCTTTCTCTGTTCTTTGGATTGGAAAATTTCTATTGTTCTATCTTCAAGGTCACTGATTCTTCTGCCATCTCAAATCTCCTGTTAAACTCATCCTGAGAATTTTTTATTCAATGACGGTAACGTTTAACTCTAGAATTTCTATTTTCTTCTTTTTTATGTTTTCTTTCTCTGGTGTCATTCTCTATTTGTTTACTCATTTTTGACATATTTGCCTTTAGTTACTTGAGCATCTTTAGCTTTTTAAACATATTTTTATCTCTAAGTTTTTGCTAAATGCAGCATCTGTATCTTCTCACAATCTGTTTCTGCTGGTAACTTTTTTATTTTCTGAGTGCAGATCAGTGTTGAAAATTCAACACTGTAGAAAATATGTTATAACAGTTCTAGATTCTGTTCTCCTGAGGAGCTTTGATCTTTTTACTTTCAGTAGCTAATTTACTACCTTGATTTAAAAGGTGAACTCTGTCTTCTCTGTGGTATGTGTCTTCTGATGTTTATACATGAAAACATGATTACAGAAAATTCAGTGCATTCAGGCAAAGAGTCCATCAACCCGACTGATTGGTATCATGTTAACCAAACATCCCCATAATCCTCTCAAATGTTCACTGTGGTGAGTAGTTTACATCACAGGAACAGAACATGACAGAGATTATTAGGTTGTTTAAGAAAGGCAACTTTTAAGGGATGGAAATCATTCTATTAATTTTTTAATGTGTCTCTACCTCTTTAAAAACCAAATTCTCACTCAGATTATTATTACTTAGCTTTCAGATTTATTATGTTTCAGTATTGGATGGGACTGTATGACATTGGAGGCTTGTGTGCTCTAAGGTCAGAGTTGGTGGAACATAACTTTTCTAAATAAAATATCTCCATTTTCAGGGAGGATTAAGCACCAGGAATGAAATGTGTCTCTCATATCTTCTTTATTACCCAAGAATTAATCTTACTCGATGTGCAAGTATTCCAGACATTATGGAACAACTTCAGTTCATTGGGGTTAAGGAGATCTATAGGCCAGTCACGTAAGTAGTAAATGGATTTCATAGTGGGGTAGTATACTTCAGAGAAGGATGGGATTCATTTTCATTTTGGATTTATCACCACATTATGGAATTCCTTTAAGTCTTGTTCTGTTTACTTATTTTTAGCTGGGGTGACAAGGTGAGCTTCTTGGTTGGTATATCCAGGGTCCCCAAGACTCCCACCAGGTTCAGAGATTTTTCTAAGAGGACCTAAAGGATTCAGCCTATTACTGTATCCATGGCTAACATTTATTACAGAGAAAGAATACAAAGCAAAAACAACCAACGGGAAAGGCACATGGGCCAAGTCCAGAGATATCCCAGTACAACTGTCCAAGAGGCCTCTCCCGTGGAATCACATAGAATGTACTTAATTCTACTAGCATCGAAGTATGACAACATGCATGAAGTGTTGTCAGTGAGAGATACTCATTAGAGACTCAGCATCCAGAGTTTTTACTGAGGGCTGGTTACATAGGTGTCTTCTGCCTAGTAAGTACTAAAATCTAGACTCCTAGAAGGAAAGCAGATGGTCAACATAAATTGCATTGTTTGTACAAATAGTCGAGGCACAGTGAGTCACTCTTCATTTAGAGAAAGTTTTATATCAGTATAGGAAATTGTTTTCTACTTAGGTTCACTGATGCCCACCAAAGTCCAGCCTTCCAAAGAGGCATTTCTAAGGATGGAATTCTCAGGACTACTATGTTCACTTGTCTGCACAACTGAACATCATAGAAACTACTCAAGATAAGATAATAAACAAGATATATATTATTTCTGCCCTCTTGGGATTATATTCTAGAGTGGGGGAGGGGTAAGAAACAATATAAAAATAAAATTTCAGATATTAGTAAATATTATGAAAATAAGACAGTGAAGAAAGTATGTAGCTGTTGTCAGTAGGGTGGTAAATGCCTCCCTGGGAAGGTCTCTTAGTCTGTCCAGGCTGCTGTAACATAGTACCATAGACAGAGTAACTTATAAACAGCAGAAATTTATTGCTCACAGTCTGGAGGCTGAGAAGTCCCAGATCAAGGCGCCAGTGGATTCAGTGTCTGGTGAGGACTCACTTTCTCATAGTCTTCTAAGCGAAACCTCACATGGCAGAGGATATAGGAGGGAGCTTTCTCAAGCTGCTTTTATGAGGGCACTAATCGCATGAGGGGGTTAGACCCCAGCTCATAATACCATCACCTTGAGTGTTAAGATTTCAACATATGAATTTTGGGGGGGACATAAACATTCAGTCCACGGCAGGAGGTGTTGTTTGAGCAGAGACTAAGTGATGAGGAGCTAGCCATGGAAAGATAAAAAGTGTACTCTTTGCAGAGAGAAGAGCCAATGTAATGACATGAGGTGGGTTTGAACGTAGTGTGTTCAAAGAACAGCAAGAAGGCAAGTTTGGCTGGAGTAGGGTGAAATACGGTAAAGGGTAAGTGAGGAGGTCTGACAGCAAGAAGGACGTTATAAGCGACATAAAGATCACGTAGGACTTTATAGGCGACATAAGGACTTTGGGTTTTAAGTGCAAAGAGAAGCCATTGTAGGATAGAAACAAAGTTGATTTGGCCACTGAATTGAGAAAAGACTCTAGGAGCACCAGATTGGGGAAAAACAAAAACAAAAACAAACCACCAACCAGGAGACTGTTGTGATTGCAATGTTGAGTTGTGTTGAGTTGTGAGATGAGTGCGTCTGGGACCAAGGGCGTGGCAGTCGAGCTGATGAGAAACAGTTACAAGCAGGTTACCTTCTCATGGTAGCACAGGCTGGACCCACTGGTTGATGCCATCTCAGGGAGGTGATGAGGGAAAAAGAAGAGGAAAGAGAAAATGGTGATGTGTGAGTGCTGTAGGAAAACATTTGAAACAGAAATGGAAAGTTGTGTTTTGGATATATTAAGGTCGACGTAGATAAAAGGATTTTATTCATTCTTAGCAATACCACAAGGAAGAATTAGGGTGGCTGGTGGAAATTTTGGGGCATAGATTTTGTTTTAACATAAAGAAGAATTTTCTAATGAAAGAGACTGATATAATTAGGTGAAAGGTACACGTAGATTTTTGAGGGGATATGTTTAAAGAGAGGATTAAAAAACATGTCATGAAAATGTGGTCAAATGCATTCAGTGAAGTGGCATGTGATTATGATCTACTTTTTATTCCAAAATATTATAGAGATTGTAAATGATGAACTAAGGGTGCTCTTCTTTTTAAATTATACTATCTGTAAATATGTTCTAGACACCAGAACAGAAGTCTGTATCTACTAAAATACAAATAACAAGATGCTTATGTAAATTCATTTGTAGTTCATAAAGTATTTCCATATGTATAATTTCAATTAATTTGTTTTCACACAATTCCAATAGGTAGAGTAGGACTTGCAATCCCAATTTTATAGAAGAGGAAATGGAAACTGAGGGATTCAGAGATTATTCCATGTCAGATGGTGCATAATCAATGGAGGACCTAGTGTTTGTTGTGTCTGTGATGTACAGAGGGAGATAGATACCTGCCTTTTTATTCAAAATGAATAATTACATATGCAAAAATATAAAATGGTAATGAATATCAAAATAGTATATAAGATGTCATTCTAAAAACACTAGGATTTAGTCTTGTTTTTATTTTTTTTCCAAAGATTTCATTTATTTATTTGAGAGAGAGAGAGCAGGAGCAGAGGGAGCAGCAGAGGGAGAGGGAGAAGCAGCTTCCCGCTGAGCAGGGAGCCCGATGCGGGACTCGATCCCAGGACCCTGGGATCATGACCTGAGCCGCAGGCAGACGCTTAACCGACTGAGCCACCCAGGCGCTCCTATAGTCCTGTTTTTTAAAACATCAATATTGTTCCTAACTAAGACTTAGTAGCCTTTTTATTCCCTTTAGAATATTTTTTTTACATATTGACTAGAAAATTTCCCTGTTCAAGAATTAATTTGAGAGCATGTTGAAAGCAAGTGGACATTCAAAGCTGTTTGTTTTATAAGGTGATGATTCAAAATGTATTCTACAACCTAGTTATTTTCTTTTGTGTTCAACCTGTGTAAATTCTCTGAAAACATTCCACTCCCAAGTTCCAGTGAGCTGTGTTAGAGTCCACACCTTTGGTCTCTCCCAGGAAATATTGAAGTTGGGTTTTTCATTACTTACAAAGACAGGGAGAATTGCTTCCCAGAACCAGGCCAGTTTTGAGATGTCATTGTGCATATAAAACCACTTAACTACATGGTTCAATTTATTTATTCTTCAAAAATACAAGTGAGAAGGAGCCTCTGTTGTAAATTCATGTTTAGGCTTTAAATCAGATTTTCAAGAGAGTTCATCCCGCTGACATCAGTGTTATTGAAAGCCAGACCAACAAGGTACTGGCTAAAAGATCAGAAAGAGAAATGGCTTGGATGCCTTTTTTTTTTTTCTGTTTTACTGAAGAGAATATTGCGAATTTAGTTTCAGGATACCATACTCAAGAAGAATATCCTATAATATATAACCCCTACTCTCCTATCCCATGCCTTTAACGTAATGATTAGTTGGGTTCATTGTCTTATTTTATTTTATTTAATTTTTTTAAATTTTATTTATTTATTTGAGAGAAAGAATGAGAGAGAGAGAGCACATGAGAGGGGGAAGGGTCAGAGGGAGAAGCAGACTCCCTGCCGAGCAGGGAGCCTGATGTGGGACTCGATCCCGGGACTCCAGGATCATGACCTGAGCCGAAGGCAGTCGCTTAACCAACTGAAACCTTCTGTAACAATCCTAGGTAGAAATGTAAAGACAACTACATCCTGTCTCAGTATCTGTCTGTTTGAGGGGTTGCGATTTCCCTCTGCCTCCTACAGATCTAGCAGGGCTTAAGGAAAAACAAAAGGACTCATAAAGATCAGAAAACAGACTAGATTATGCATTTAGATAAATTCTGTATTCTCTGCTGCACCACACATCGACCCTGTCTACGTAGTTCCAGTGAGGCTTATGTCATGGGACATTTGATGTAATTTGTTCAATTTCTAAAAAAGAATCAGGGGATGTGTGTATATTTTTCTTTGTAAGAAAAATCACTTCATGTTTATAATGTGTAAAAATCCCCCATGCTTGTTATAAGGGCTTTAAGGAATGCAGAGAAAAAGGATTCAAAAAGAAGGCACAAGCAATCACCTCAAATTTTGTTCAAAATAAACAATGCTAACATTAATTGAATGTTATTACAGACGTCTTTCTGTGGGGGTGTTGCCGTAAAGATGAATGGATTGCTGTTGTAAAGATGATAATTTGTGCACTGTTTCAAATAACACATTAAATCTTAATTTTGTTTAATTTATATAAAAACACGGGGCGCCTGGGTGGCTCAGTTGCTTAAGCATCTGGCTTCTGCTCAGGTCATGATTCCAGGGTCCTGGGATCGAGTCCAGCATCGGGCTCCCTGCTCTACGGGGAGCCTGCTTCTCTCTCTCCCACCTTTCCCGCTTGGGCTATCTCTCTCTCTCTCTCCGTCAAATAAATAAATAAATCTTTAAAATATTTATATAAAACACAAAGCTAAAACTGAACAGTTGTTGAACTTCAGATAAACGTGGTTGCTGTTATTGTTTTTAGCCACGAGAGGTAATATTTCATAAAAGAGTCTCAAATGTTGAGAACATAGATTATAAAAGACATTAAAATGTTGCACACCCTTGTTTCACTACATGTTTCGACTTCAGATCATAAAAGATGAGGACATTCATACTTTCACATTTTCCCCCACGTACCTTTTCCATACCTCCAAATATTTATTACTTAGATTATAATTGGTGTATTTTCAAGATTTTAAATTTTCCCACTTATTTCTCAAACCAAATTCCCACAATATTTAATGCAACTTTTAGAGTTTAATAGATTCAGTGGTAATCCGTAATCTTATAGGATATCTACATTTCCGAGCTCTTTGATTTGAGTCATCAGAATGTTATTTCCAAGTTGGTTTATCAAGAAGTGTTTCCAAGTGCTTTATGTCCT